AAAAAAAGCCTTAAAAAAAAAAAATAATAAATCCAAACCAACCCGCTTTTGGATGCGATTTGAGGCCAATCAGGCGCCGGGAGCCCCGCCTGCCTCCAAGTGTCAACTCCAGCCTGTTACTCTCCCAGCATTAACCCCTTCAGCCCAACTCCTGCCCCTGCTCGGGGAGATGCTCTCGCCCCCCGGGGGGGGCTCTGGCTCCCAGCTCTGCCCCCAGCCCAGGATTTGCCCCAGGAGGGTGGGTTTTCTCCCCGTTTTCCCCAGCGCTGCTGGAAAGCCCCAGGCCCTGCCAGCTGGGGAGCATCTCGTTCCAGCCTGCAAGGCAGAAGGTGCCTGGGGAGGTTTCACTCCACGGTTCCCATGTCCTTGGCCTGGCCGGGGACAGGGAGGGCTTTGGGCTCCAGCAGTGACACAGATAAAGGAGGTTTCCATGCCCTGGAACAGCTGGGGCCACATGGGGTTTCCTCCAGCTGCAAGGAGGCAACGGGCTAAATCAGACGTGGAAAATACCTATGAGAATAAAACAATGCAGACAGCTCCTCCTGCCTCTCCTTTATTATATTTCTTTTTCGGGAGGGTGTGTGTGTTCTGATGTGCTGCTTCATTTAAGACCCAAATCTCCCCCTTTCAGACTGAATTTTTCTCCCCATCCCCATTCCCTTGTGGTGAGTGGAAATCCTACAGGAGCTGAGAAGTCTCTGTCTGTAAAACCAGGTAGCTGCTGTCCTGCTCTCAGTGGTGCCAAACACCAGGAGACAGGCAGGAAGATGCTGTCCCTGACTGGGAACCTGCTCAGCACCAGGGAACAACCTGTAATGGAGAAAGGGAAATGACTCCTGATATATTAGTCCTTCTTTCCTCTGGAGCCCTCCTTCCCCATTAGTTCATGAGATTCCTGGCCTCTGGAGTGCCCTTTGTGCAGCACTGAGATACCCTGGGATGTCCTTGCTGCAGTCTGGGGGTGGTGGGTCCTGTCCTGCTCCTTCTCCTGGTTTTCTAAACCTTTTCCAGGGAGCAGCACTCACTCAGGACCAGGACTGTGCTCCTTCAGCCTTGCTGTGGGTACAAGCCCAACCACCAGCTCCTCCACATTGTGGGCTTTTTGCTTTCCACCCCCCTTTTGCCTAATCCTAAAGAGATCCAAAGCCTAAAGCAGCCTTTGGCACCCCGGAATTCCTGAGGAACCAGAGTCTGGCCACGGGTTGAGAACTGAGGTGCAGGCTGAAAGGCTGCTCTCCCTTTACTTGAGGATGTATTTACATCTGCCTCTCTATTATTATCTCCACTTAAAAGCCACATCCCTACCTATATAGTAAACACACAGCCCTGGCTCTAAATAGCAGCGCTGCCCTGGGTCCGAGGCTCCGGTTACTTGGTCTTTTTAAAGTGTGGTTTTGACCGTAGGAGGGGAGGAAATAATAATATTAATTTAAAAAAATAATAAGGAAAAAGCCAGCCCAGGCTCGGTGTGGTTCTCAGCAGAGCCAAGGAGCTGCAGCTCCACGGGGCTGGGCAGAAAACACAGCTCGTGTAGCAAAGTGCAGAGGCAGGACCAGGAGCCAAAACTCAGCCCAGACCCTCCGCCCCCAAACCCCACCGAAGGTGTTTGCATCTCACCAGGGCGAGGCGAGGGGGGGGCCCTGCCCTGCAGGGGGGCAGGGGGGGCTGCAGGGGACCCGGGGCCACGTCTGTCCCGCAGGATGCGATTTATTCCCGGCTTTCCGCTCCGGGAGCTGCAGCTTTGATCCCGGGAGGACGCGCTCGCATCTGAGCTGGGAGGCGCTGCTGGTTTTCATTAGCAGCTCGCTCTGCAAACAGTAGCTGGAATTTCTCGTAGCCCATAGGAGCCTCCTCAGGAGCAAGAGCAGAGCTCCCAGCTCCTCCCAGCACAGGACGGAGCACCCCGAGAATTTCTGGGGTTCCAGCTTCTTGATCCCTTGTTGGACACGCGGCCGCCAAACCTTGCCTGGGGCTGGTGTTTCTGCGGGGCTGGCAGAGCATGTGGGAGC